TTTTCTTCTAAGATTTTTAAAGTTTTAGCCGTTCATCCCCAGGTACCTCTAATGGGAAGGAAACCTTGGTTGAATGCGCTCTGGGGCCATCCTGTGGCCTCCCCTACTCACTCCTCCATTCTCTCCCCCCACCCACGACTATTCTGCTTCCTCTCTCCCTAAATCTCCTCCTTCGACACCCTGGTCTGACCTTGGTCCTCTCACAACCTGGCTTCTCTGTGGTGGGCATGGTGTTAACTGCCCTTTCTTTGATATTTTCTCTCTCCTTTGCTGAGGCACACCCTGCTGGTTGCCTACCCAATTTCCATTTTCCCCTTTGGTCTCATCAGAGAACCCAATTTTGTCTGAGCGGACAACGTACCCACCTAAAACTGCCTTCTCCACTCTCCTTGGCCCCCAAGGGTGGCCACGTGACACAGTTGTCCTCCGTGAACTGAACGTGGAAGTTGCTGGTGGGGCTCCTGGAAAAGCTCTTTAAAAGGGGCCTACCCACCCTAGCCGATTTGGCTCAGTGGATAGAGCATCGGCCTCCGGACTGAAAGGTCCCAGGTTCGATTCCGGTCAAGGGCATGTACCTTGGTTGCGGGCACGTCCCCAGCGGGGAGTGTGCAGGAGGTAGCTGATCGATGTTTCTCTCATATCAATGTTTCTGACTCTCTATCCCTCTCCCTTCCTCTCTGTTAAAAAAAAAAAAAAAATCAATAAAATATTTTTTAAAAGGGGGACCCACCCAGCTGGCCACACAGCCACGAGACTCTGACCACCAGGCTACACTGCTGTGTCCTATGCTGCCCTCGGATGCTAGAGGCCCTCTTGGAATCCCTGCTGATACCGGGAGGGAATCGGGCTGGCCAGGTCACACCATGGCAGGGTCAGGCATAATCATTAGAGGCTTCGGAGCTCCTGTTTCCGCTACTCACTTCCCTGGCCTTGGAAGGCACTGGCCAGGCCTGGCTCCCTCTGCAGCAGAACAATCGCTCTGTCCTTCCACTTCTGAAGGTCTTTCCCTTCCCCTCCCTTTTGCCACAGCTTGAGTGATCATTCTAAACAAGGGGTGAGTTAATTTTTAGTCCTGGCATACAAGAGCAGGGCAATGAGCGAGAACAAAGAAACAAACTGCTCCGGCAAGGAGAACTCACTCGGAGCGCCCCCTGTGGGAAACACCATCGTTTTCCCATGGCTGGTCCCATGTCTCCGTCAGATGGTCTCATTAGGGGACAATTTTGCTATGACTTACACAAAGGAATCGAGAGAAGAATGCCGTTTCATTTGACCTCTTCGTGCCTATGAGGGGCAATTGTTAACTAGGAAGGAATTACATTTTAACTCCCATTCGTGGGAGACATGACTTTGCAGGCACCCGGACTCCGCCAAATGCCATGCTCCCCGGAGAGGACCTGGGAGGGATGCTCAGGGCAAGTGAGGCTGCAGGTGTGTGCGGACACCTCCCGCCTGTGCAGGAGGGCTCAGCCTGTAGGCTGCTCCCAGCCAGCGCTGCTGGAGCTCAGGAATGGCCAACAGCCCTGGGAGCAACTGGGGAGAGCTGGCAGTGCCAGGACAGTCAATCCTGGCATGTCTTCTGCAATCTAGGCCAGGGACAAAGGGGCTTCCCCACCGAGAACAGTGAAGAGTGTGGCTTCTTCAGCTCTTCTGGATGAAGGGTGGGTACCAAAAACGAAGACTATTTCAAAGCCATAAAGCCTGCTCTGGGGTGAGTTGTGACACAACTGTCAAATGCACAGGTAACCCAACAGCATTAGGGCTACTTTGCCCCATTTGCAGTCGCCCATGCCATCAGTCCTGCCTTCTTGCCCTCCTTCATTTTCCCAGCATCGTGTGCTGATAAGGATGCAGAAATGTGGTCAAGGACCATGGGCCCAAAGCCAGGTGATGATTCAGAAGGGAACAAAGGGAGAAAGGAAGCCAGGATCTACTGTGCTGACCTAGCGGCAGGGCCCTCGCTCTTTAGGAGAAGCCTCCAGCTCCCGATGCTGGTGCTGACAGAGCGAACTGTAGGTCAGGGCCAGAGGACAGCAGCAGATGCGTCCTCCCTGCTGTAGGGTTAGTGCTACTTCAACCGTAGCCAGTGTTTTAACCTGGGACTGAAGGTGTCCTTGCAAGATCCACCCTCATGTCACCCAAGGTGTGGATGTACATCCTCAGTAGAATCTAACGTGCCTTTGCCCAGGTGCTCCTGGGATGGTGGAGGAGTACACCAGCCTGGGAGACACGGTGGGTTTGGTTCCAGACCGAGGCAGTAAGAGTCTCACACGAAAGCAAGTCTCACAATAAAGTGAGTTGTAATCTTTTTTGCTGGTGAAGGACCTCACCTTCAGTTTGTAAGAGAGGCAGCAACCATGAAGCACAGTAGGAAGCGTGCCTGTACAGACTTGGGGACTGGTCACACTGATGTTCAAACCTGGCTCCACCATCCATTGCAGCCCGATATGAGAATGTAAGGTCTGACTCTTAGTTGTTTCGAACAAAAAATAGGGACGATAAAATCCAGCCACGTGGCTGGCAAGAGGATGAACTATTAAACAAACAAACCTGAATGAATAGTAGTATAGAGGTTCGCTTGGCTCCATAAAGGTTATTTTTCTCCCTAGCTCTTAATTCTTGATACTGTTGCCTAATAATTAACACTTTTTTTTTTCCTAAGCTGTTATCTCTAAATCATTCAACTTTTGATAAAAGAGAAGAAAATCATACAGGACATAGTTGTTAAGGATAACACTTCTAGAAACATTTTTCAAGTTGACAATGATGTCCTCCTAACACTCCCAGTGTCTGTTAGATCTTTAGCCATAAAATCACCCAATTAGACTATTGCCCAGCCTGAATTCTGACATCTTAGAGATAGGGATATCATGGTCAAGTACTTGGTAAAAACTATGACAATGGAATTCCCTCAAATCTATCGGTCTCATACTAATTATTTTTTGAGTGATAATGAGTAGAATCTGATGTGAACTAATAACGATAGCCCTCATGTGCCCAGCCGAGGGCAGGCTCCGGGTCTTGCCCCACGCGCTGTTGGTGTGGCCGTGGGAACCTCTCCAGAGACAGGAAGGGCGTCCTCACAGAACCTTGCTGGTTCCCACCGAGGAGCCTGGTTTTCTTGGTGCTCATGGTCATGATATTCAGGAATCCATCCTGGGACCCTCTTATTTCTGGCCACCAGCATTCACTCAGTGCCTACAGGTATTGAGAAAATGCTAGGCCCTGGATAGTCAGACAGGACTAGTCCTGACCTTGTAGAGTTTTAGCAGCAGAGGGACAATTAGGAGAAATGAACCATAAATTGTGATAAAACAGGGGAAACCCAGGAAGTCATCAGTATACAGTGGAGTCAGGTAGGAGACTAACACTAACAGGTTCCCTTTTTTTTTTTTTTTTCCATTGAGCTGTTCATGAAAACTTAGTATTCTCTGAAAGTATTCATCTGACAGTAATATATTTTTAACTAAAGCAAGGTCAAAACAACTGTTGGGGAGGTCTCTGACCACCAGATCAAAATAGCTGGGCATTATTGGGAATGCAACAGGAAGCCCCTGAAGTTCACTAAGGAGAAAGGTGATAAAATCAGAGATATATGCGGCTCAAGATGGATGAGGGATAGAGAAAAAGGCAGGGGCCCTCATAGAAGGCTATCTCAGTCCTATATAATAAAAGACTAATATGCAAATCAACTGAACGGCAGAACAACCAGTTGCTATGATGCTCACTGACCACCAGGGGGAAGACACTCGATGCAGGAGCTGCCCCCCTGGTGGTCAGTGTGCTCCCACAGGGGGAGCACCACTCAGCCAGAAGCTGGGCTCATGGTTGGTGAGTGCAGCAGTGGTAGCGGGCACCTTTCCCACCTCTGCAGCAGCACTAAGGATGTCCGACTGACAGCTTAGGTCTACTCCCTGCAGGGAACAGACCTAAGCCATCAGTCGGACATCACCCAAGGGTTCCCAGACTGTAAGAGGTCACAGACCAGGCTGAGGGACACTCCCCATCCCCAGTGCATAAATTTTACTATTAATCTAATAAGTACAGGAATGGTTGATTGTATAAGTATATTCCTAGAGAAATTTTACTCTCTGGACACATCTTTGATTTTATATATATGTTGCTTTATTCAGACTGAGCTATCAGAAGTATGAAGCAATTCTAGATTGGCTAAAAGTGATTTAATGTTAAGATAATAATTGTTTTTCCACTGTAATGAGTTCAAAAGATGATACAATATAATATGATATACTAGGGCATCTGGCAAGAAAACTAAATATTCAGTGAGTTTTCATTAAGAACAATGTTTAAAACAATTATCAGTCCTAGCTGGTTTGGGTCAATGAATAGACTGTCGGCCTGCAGACTGAAGGGTCCCAGATTTGATTCCGGTCAAAGGCACATGTCCAGGTTTCAGACTTGATCCCAAGAGGGGGGCATGCAGGTGGCAGCCAATCAATGATTCTCTCTCATCATTGATGTTTCTCTCTCTCTCTCCCTCTCCCTTCCTCTCTGAAATCAATAAAAAACATTAAAAAAAATTGTCAATCCACTAAAATCTTAAAATATTAATGTAATTATATTTGTCTTAAGGGAACAGTATGTAAATACCATATGCTTAATTAAACCAAACCAGAAATGCTCCCACCCTTGAGGAGCCTTGTCAAGAAGAGTTACTCAAATAGATGGTGTCAGATAGGTTCTAGACTCATCGGAGGATCGCCTTGTGAGTTGCGTACAAGTCTCACCACTGCGGTGTGCACCTGAAACTAATACAATATTGAATGTCCGCTGTAATAAAATTTTTATTTTAAAAAATTAGTTACTCAAAATACAAAAGAGTTTGCTAATGACTACAGTCATCACTTGCATCTCCCTTCTTTTTTGTGTGACTGCGAGTGAAGAGAGGGCCCAAGGTTTCTCCAGAATACTTCAGGTCTCCCCCTCCCCCATTTCTTGGAAGGTCGGGACCCGTCAGCAGGGACCGCTGTGGCTCTTACCCAGCGTCATCCTGGAAGCCTTCTAGCTCGTCCCGCTGCTCTGCCAGGGTGGCCTCCAGGTCCAGGTAGGTGCCATTGTGGGACAGCTGCAGCGTGCAGTCGTCGAGCTGCAAGAGAAAGAACCTGGTCAGCCCCGCCGGCTTGGGGGGGGGGGACTCGGCCCAGAGCGGTCACTGCATGTCGCCCCAGGTGGGTTTTTAGTCGAGCATCACTGTGAGGCTCAGATCCCAGTTGGAGGTAGTGTGTTCCTGTGAACAGACTGGGAGCAGAGTGCATACTGAGTGGACAGACAAGACACCTATGAAGGGAGTGGCCTTGACAGGGCCCAGTGGCTGTCGATGGGGGTGGTGAAGGAGCCCTTTGGGCCAGTGCCAGTTTGTACTCTGAGGGGGCCCAGCAGGACCTATGGGTGTGGGGAGTGGTAACCAAGCTCACAATGCTGGTATGGACGTGGATTAAGAGTCCTAGAGTCTCAAAGGCAAATGTGATGGGGAAACACGTTGTTCCCGGGTCCCTGAATGGCTGCTCAGAACAGATCCCTTTGCTCAGAGCAGTGAGAAGCCTGCTCACTCAGGTTCTGTCAAGCTTGGCACATGACAATCAATAGCTGCCCAATAAACAACGGAGCGAAAAGCAACAGTCTCATTTGGATGACAGCATACCACAGAGGGCCTGAGGTCCCTGCTTACTAGTCTTGGTTGTTTATTTTTTTTAATGTATTTAACAAATACTTATCTGTCATACATAATTCTAAGCATTTTGCCTATGTTGCTTCATTTGTTTCTCATATGAACCTTACTTCTATTATTATCCCCACTTTACAGATGAAAAAACTGGGGCATAAACTAAGAGATGCCCATCTGGTAATGGTGGAGCTGGGATTTGGATACCAGCCGTTTGACTCATGTGCTCAACCACTAAGTTCTGATCCTTTCTATGGCCTGAGCTCTACAAAGAACTTAAAAATATCCGTCTTGCAATATATAGCTTATGGCATCCGAGTGCTCTGCCATGTGTGTGTCAACCCCCTTCCCTTTCCCTCCTGGACACACAGAACACATATCCCAGCCTTAGAGTTGGTTTTCAACCGTGAAACTGAGTCCTGACCAATGGAAGGTGAGTGACAGTGAACAAGGCCCCAGCACTCTGGCCACAACAGCCCTGCACAACCTTCCACTTTCCGTCTCTTGCCTGCGGCCAGGTGCAGAGGGGCCAGCGGAAGACTCCAAAGTCTAGAAACCACCAGAGCCCCGGGTTCCTGAATGGCTGCTCAGAACAGATCCCTTCGCTACCCCTCCTCCACTGGACCACAACAAGCAAGACACGCGCCTCTGTGTCGAGGAGTCGTGAAGATTTTGAGGTTGTTACAGCAGCATCACATGACATTTACAATGATCGAGTCACATGAAAATAAAGGGAAGTTATGTTACCAAAGATTAAAACTGACATGACGAGTATGCCCAAATGTATGACTGCATGCTTGATTTCTCAGTCTGTAGGGTGGCTCTTATTATTCATCTACCTGCTGAGTTAGGCTCTCATTTCAAACTGACAGGCGGTTGGGGGAAAATAGAGGTGAACATGTGGCTACTTTAAAATTTCTAAATAAATATTGTATGTGATAACGCTTCCGCAGTGAGATTTCAAACAAGGAATTATTCTCTTGATCCCCAACAAGAGAAACTGAGACTACCTTCTTATCTATATAGAATGAGCAGTTCTAAGAGGCTGCTGATCGGTTTGTTTTTGTTTTTTGGTGTGTGGTTTTTTGGGTTTTTTTTGTAAAATCAACTTTATTGAAATAGAATTTACATTACATTGCATAGATTTTAAGTGTACAGTTTGATGAGGTGTTGTTTTTTAAGTTGTTTTTTCAATTACAGATTAGGCAGGTTCATGTTTCTGGTTATCCTCAACAAATTGAAAGGAATGTGTTCTTTGTTATTTGTAAGAAACACCTAGTTAAATTGTTTAAAGGGGTTAATCCTATTTGATGCACTTGTTTGATTTCTCTAATAACAAACTGTTCCTCTAAGGGCGTGCTGGTGAGGGTCAGCATTCTTGATTGGCACAGACAGATCATCTGATCCAAGGAATTCAAGTTGGCCCAACTTATGGTTCTGAAGTGTCAGGAGTGCACCATGGTTTTGGGGAAACACACAGGGAACTGCTCCCCCAACCTGTGGAACCAGCAGCCAGGAATGGTTTCCTGCAGAGGCATCTCCCGGCCCAGCGTCTGCTGAGGACTGAAATCCGACTTTATCCTTCCCAGGTGGAAAATTCCATGAGGCCCTGGGCCTGCTAACATGGACACTGGACCATGTGGATGGCTGGACTCACAGCTACTCATTCTCGCTTTTAACTCCTACAGGTGTAGTTAGCTAAGAAAGCTGCTTGGTCTGTTGTGTTGATAGTATCCGCACATTTGCTTATTTTTAATCCCACATATAGTCAACAGTCCAGACCCATGGTCGGCAAACTGTGGCTCATGAGCCACCTGCAGCTCTTGAGTGTGGCCCTTCCACAAAATACCACGGGCCTGGGCGAGTCTATTTTGAAAAAGTGGCGTTAGAAAAAGTTTTAAAAATTTTGGCTCTCAAAAGAAATTCCAATCGTTGTCCTGTTGATATTTGGCTCTGTGGACTAATGAGTTTGCCGACCACTGGCCTAGAAGGTGGGGGTGACGAAAGACCTTTAGGCCATAACAATTTCTTGGGCTTCATCCCTTAAAAACAGGTGAGCCCAGAGAAAGCTTTTGGGTAGAGCAGGGGTGGGGAACCTTTATTCGGCCAAGGGCCATTCGGGTATTTATTACATCATTCATGGACCACATAAAATTATGAACTTAAAAATTAGCCTGCTATATCTGGTCAGACATTTAATTAGCTCACCCCTAACGTCTTAGTTGGACCAGACCAAATTATTTCGAAGGCCTTATGCGGCCCGCAGGTTAGACGTTCCCCACCTCTGGGGTAAAACGTTTCTGCCTCTCCCTGAGGGCGTCTGAGTCATTCTGCAGTCCCCACGCAGGCCCCGCGAGGGCCCGGGGGATGGGGCAGCCTGTGCAGGGGGATGTGGTATAAATTCTCCCGCTGAGGCCATGTCAGCCAGCAGTGTGAAGTCACTGAGTGTGGGGTTACACAAGATGTGCAGCAACTCACCAGTATATGGTACGTTTGTCAGATACAGGAGATGTCAGAAACCCCAAAAGCATGGGGAGCAGGAAAATGTAAGAAAACATTTAGGAAGTGACAGGTTTTGAGTTGCTAGTCTTATCTTTATTTTTATTTTTTTATTTTTTTGCTGTTTTTACGAGAGTGTAGTTGACATACAATCTGGTATTAGTTTCAGGTGCACAACATAGGGATTGGACATTAATACAATATAATGTACGAAGTGATCACCACCATCAGCCTAGTAACCCTCAGTCACCGTACAAAGTTACTACGATGTTACCGACTCTATTCAATGGGCTGGATGTTACATCCCAGTGACTTATTTTATAACCGAAAGTTTGTACCTTATTATCTTTGTTTTTAATAGAACTTATTAATGGTACACGTATATCCTTAAGTTTTTAATAATAGCTATGTTGAACAGCTGGCTCACAGAATCCCGGAGAATACCCATCAGCCCTCTCGAGTCCCCTGGGCCCACTCCAGCACACTCTGCTTCTGGCCCTCCCAGGTGCCTAATTTGAGGTGCCTAAGGTGGAGTGGGTGCATGAAAGGCTTGCAGCCCTCCCCACCCCGCCCTGGCCCTATGCTGTTCTTAGTTAGGGGGGAGTGGGGATTCCTGGTGGCCAGCAGAGGCAGCCCTTATGGCAACTCTGGCTATCTTGCACATCATCTCCACACAGGCCTTCCGACGTTATTCCCAGCCAGCCAAGGTGAATATCTGGTTTTCCTCACCCTCACCCCGGCCCCCCACGCTCCCAGCCAGCCCTGGACCACAGCAGGAAGCCCCACACCTCTCAGCTCTGATAGCAGGATCCCAGGACTGCAGAACCGCCCATTCTCCTCACGCCTCCCCTCACACTCAGGGCAGCATCAGCCAGGGCTATCTCCATAGGTCAATTCCAACCAAATCACATGTCAGGCACAGGCTGGGCACCAAGGAACACGTAAGTGCTTCCTCCCCTCAAAGACCATTTTATTGAGTAAGAATGACACAGAAGAGAACAAAAAGCCATTTTAAACCAACTGTCCGCATGTGTGGAAGCTCACCCTCAGTTCTGTTCCTCCTCTGTAATTAGCACCCACAGTCTCCCTGACCCAAGCATCCTCCACAAAACCGCCCGGCCCCCTTCCGGAGACAGGCCGTCACTGCTTCCGGGCCAGTGTCACAGCCCCGCTCCCCCTGCCCAATCGTTGAGCCATTTGTGCTCGCAAGTCCTTCCACCAAAACAGAAAATGGGACCATGTGCCTTTTGATCCCTCAAGAAGAGTGTGTATGTGTGTGTGTGTGTGTGTGTGTGTGTGTGGAGAGTCCTCACGGCAGGCCTACAGCCAGGGTCAGACCCCACCGCCTTAGGGAGCCCAGACACGTGGGCACTAGAGGGGTCCCAGCAACACGGCTGCCTGAGAAGACACCAAAGGAATGGACACACACACCGCCCACCCGATCCCATGATACAACCCCTCCCTCAACGTGACACTGGAGGGAGGCAGGCGAGATTAATATTTAAACCATCACATGAGCCAAGGAGTTGGAAGAAAGGGCTTTCTTTCTGGACTGACACATTGAAATGTGTCAATATTCTAGGGAGAAGTTTTAGGTCTTTTTTAATCCTCACCCAAGGATATGTTTATTGGTTTTATTATTATTATTATTATTATTATTATCATTATTATTATTATTATTTTAGAGAGGAGGGAAGGGGGGGAAGAGAGAAAGAGAAACATCAATGTGAGAAACATTGATCGGTTGCCTCCCGTCTATGCCTGGACCAGGGATCAAACCAGCATCTTTAAAAAAAAAAAAAATTATACATATATACAATATATGTGTGTGTATGTATATACACACACACACACACTCACACACACACACACACTTTATTGATTTTTTTTTTTTTTATGTTTTCAGGAGTTTTAATGACCAAGTG